ATTTGTAAAGGTTTTACTGTACAGGCCGGGAGACCAGTCAGGAGTGCGTTGCAATAGTCTAGGCGGGAGATGACCATAGACTGCACCAGGAGCTGGGTAGCATGTTGTGTTAGGTACGGCCGGATCTTTCTTATGTTTAGTAATGCGAAGCGACAGGATCGAGAAACAGAGGCAACGTGATCTTTAAAGGTCAGCTGGTCATCAATCATGACACCCAAGTTTCTTGCTGCCTTTGATGGAGTCAGAGAGAGGGATTCAGTTTGGATGTGAATATTGTGGTGAATAGTTGGTTTTGCTGGAAAGACAAGCAGTTCAGTTTTTGAGAGATTCAGCTGGAGGTGGTGGGCTTTCATCCATTTTGATATGTCAGAGAGACAGTCTGAGATGCGTGCTGAGACCGAGTGGTCATCAGGTGGGAATGACAGATAGAGCTGTGTATCATCAGCATAGCAGTGGTAGGAGAAACCATGTGATTGAATGATCTGGGCCAAGGAAGTGGTATATATAGCAAAGAGAAGAGGTCCAAGTACTGAACCTTGAGGAACCCCTGTGGCCAGATGGTGCACTGCAGAAGTGTGACCAAGCCAGGATACTTTAAATGATCGACCAGTGAGGTACGACTCAAACCAGGAGTGTGCTCTCCCTGTGATGCCCATACTCGAGAGTATAGACAGAAGGATGTCATGATTGACTGTGTCAAATGCGGCTGATAAGTCAAGGAGGATAAGTACTGAGGACTTGGCATTTGCCCTTGCCTCTTTTAGGGCTTCTGTCACAGACAACAGAGCCGTTTCAGTGGAGTGGCCACTTTTTGGACATCCGGCTGGACCTTGGCTGGCCCCCTGGCCGGCCCCCGGCTGGCCGCGCGCCTTACCCTGCCCCACCATGTAGGTGGTGTTGGTCTCAGAGCGGCCTCCCCCCATGTAGGTGGCGTTAGTCTCGGAGCGGCCTCCCCCCATGTAGGTGGTGTTGATCTCGGAGCGGCCTCCCCCCATGTAGGTGGAGCTCAGGGTGGACATGGGAGAGGACGAGGCCGACATGTTGCGTGTCAGCGACCCCCCCGGGAAGAGGAAGTTCTGGTCCCACTTCCCATTCATCATGTAATCTGTGAAACATAAGTCAGGACAGTGAATTATTCGTCCTTACGGGGCGTGGATGGCCCGCAGCTGAAGCAGCCTGAGCCGGTTAGCAGTCGGGTTCAGGGGAGGAGCCTAGAGGTCTGGAAACAGCGTTTTCCAAGTATGCACATTTTCTACTGAATTTATAAAGTACGAAAAGAGTTCTTGAGGAACAACCTTTGCTAGCTGGAAGGGAAAAAAAGTGATTTACAAAAGGGGAAAAATCTAGTTTAATAAATTCGGTGCAATGCTTCTTTTTGGCCACAAGAGGGAGAGGTGAGCCCCTTCCCCATGTCAATCACATTGTTACCGATTTGTTCAAATAAAAAGCTAAATCGAATTGTTTCATAGGTCATAAAATGGACCCTCATCCAGCAGTGGAGGCTTCACCAACCAACAACTCAGCAGCAGCCTCGTTTGAGCCAAATCTTTCACAAAGACTCTTCTTTGATAGGTTTGGTATCAAAGTGCCCTTACTTCCCGACAAGCGCTAAGAGTTAGTTGCACTTTATTTTGCCTGTGGAACTCAAAGGTTGCTACGGCATTAGAAGAAAAGTGCCGGGTCCGATCTCCAAAGCTCCCCCCGACCGTGAACCTGC